CCTGAAAGATCGAATACACACTTAAACTATCATGGTGATCTATTACACACATTTATTATTTAAAAGTGAATTTAATATCATTCTGAGACATTTAACATCACTCTCACAATATGTGATTATTTATACTCGCTCGCCACATCGATGCTACGTCATAAATTATAACTTTTATCTCCCTTTTTTTTTACTGTATTCATGAACTTTTCTTTTTGTTAACTATATTTTTACACTAATTAATTATTAAAATTCTCCAATAAGTATAACTTCTTCCTCACTAAACCCCACTCACTCCATCTCTCATCACACCAAGGAAACCATGTTGACCGCCTTCACCATTGATTATTTGCTCTTATCCACCATCACCATATTACCTTTATTTCTTCGTCATCTTCTTCTTCATCGTCATTCTTCTTCGTCTTCTCCTTTTTTTCTTTTTAAATTTGATGTACTGAAATTTTTTGGAGTGAACTATATATCAAAAGGCTCTAAACATCGAAAAAGATTCATATCTAAATTTTGGGACTGTTTAGAGGAAATTTTGAGTTGATTGAGATTGAACAGTGATTTTGAGTTGATAGAGATTGAATAGTCAGTCTTCACTTCAATGTATAGCTAAACTATATTCAACTTTTTTAGTGTATAATAATGTATAGTCAATTGTATCATATTGTATAGTTACTGTATAGCTAGGTAAGTTATATTGTATAGTCAATGTATACTTTCTATGATTTTTGGCTTCTATATAAATAAAATATGACTATATTTATTGTATGCTAGTTACTTTATTGTATTTATTTGAGACTAGCCCATTTCAGTATGATTAACTATAGAAACTTGTGTTGGGAATTTTCCTTGGAACGGTTAGCTCCCTACGATGTTAAAATTGAATCTCCTCTTTTCATTTAGTTTGTTTTAACAATAATTATTTGTGATTTTGAACTTGGTACATGACTATGCGCTTAAGTAATTGTTTTATTTAAAAATATATCAAAAGGAAAATGACTGTGTTTCTGAAAAATCGATTAAACTTATGGTTTAAGAGAAATCGAATTTCCAAAAGAACAGAGTCGCCACTTAATTTTTAGTAAAAAATCAAGAAAAAATTAAAGGTTTTCAAAAAGATTTAAACAGATAAAATCAATTGAAAAAGGGTTCGAGTTCAAATGTACATTCCGAGAAGGTGTTAGGCCCTCGGAATGCCCGCTAACTCGCGGTTGACCGACGATTTGACCAAAATGATTTTGACTAATTTTGAAATTTTAACTAAATAGAAGAACTCATTAACTATATATTTTTTGAAATTTTAACTTAGTAAAAGAACTAATTTATATTAACTATATATATATATATATATTTTTTTTTTTTTTATTATTATTATTATTATTTTTTTTAACTTAGTAAGAAAACTAATTTATTTTGAAATTTTAAGTTAGTAAGAAAACTAATTTATTTTGAAATTTTAACTTAGTAAGAAAACTAATTTATTTTGAAATTTTAACTTAGTATGAAAACTAATTTATTTTAACTTATTTATTTATTGCCATTTATTATTTTTATCACTTTATTTATTTTAAGGGGGGATGAACTAGGGGAATTTTTCTAAGGGAAATGACTTAAGGAGATAACAAGACCAAAATTAAATAAAAGCTAAGTAAACAAATTATATGAATGAATATTTATTTTAAAAAATATAAAAGAGAAATGACTACCTTTGGGGTTTAATTAAATTTAACCATAAGAAATGAAAGCATTAGTCGAACGAATAAAACAAAGCGTAGGCAAGAAAATTGAATTTGGGCCTTTGCTGCGTTTTTGGGCCTCCTTCAGCCCATTTTCGCTCCCAAACACCTGTGTATACAGCAAATGTATATTGTTGTATATGGGTCGTATTTTGACCCCTTTTTGTGTATATCGAACCGTATGTCGAACGTATACAGTCTATTTTGACCCCCGCAACCTGAATTTTATTTTTTTTCCCTGTATATCATGCGTATAGTTGCTGTATAGCAGTGTATACTGCTGTGTACAGCAGGTATACAGCTCTTTTTGGGCTTTTGGAGGCTTGCATTAGCTTCCCTTTCGCCCTCGAACACCAAAGGCTGACTTCGATACCCGAAAATGCAGGGAGATGATGAAAGGAGTCCGATTTAGACTCCGCGAAGCATCACATGTAAAGCAAGTGAAAGAAAAGAATTAACATGGATAATTCAACTATCGTTCAACGATTTTGTCAATGAAGAGGCAATAAGCAGACACATGTTTATCAAATAATATGCAAGTTAAGATAAGAATCACATGCATCAAATGAAATAACAACCTTTATCTTCAACACAAAAGTAAAAAAAAAAATAAAAAAATTGCATTTAGATTAATGAGATATAAGTGTATTCAAAAGACGAATCATAGAGCTAATTTGATCATTTTTGGGAAGAAAACTTATTTGTAAATATGAAAAGAGATCATTCATGACAAGTAGATAAATCCAAAAGTGACCAAAATGCAATCCACCAACGACGAAACTAATGATAAGCATGCTAATGGTTAAGAACATTAAAGCAAAATGACTACTAATTCCAACATTTTGGAAGGCCATAAAGCCGACTAAACATCACAGCAAACTCATCATCTAATCATTATCATGACGACATTTAGCTAGACGAATCAAGTCATAAATACGAGAACCTAATTACTGAACAAACCAACGATCCTTGTAACTAAACTACTCAATTGGAAACTTAGAAAAGTATGATAATTAAGCACAAACGGAAACTACAGCCTAAGAATCATTAAACTAACAAATTCACATGTACACCAAGCAAAGAGAAGTATACATCAGTTTAAACTCAAAAGCCAACTAACCAAACAGTTCATTGCCAGCTTACAACAACAGGATATAAAGAGCTGAAGGCAGAACAATCACATCGGAAACGAAGTGCTTGCCAAACTTAGGCTAAAATATCTTATTCGGAACTGAACATATGGGACAACAAATGATTCAAACGAGACTAAACTTGTAAACTAGTTAGCACAAAAAATAGGATAAAACTTAGACACATAAAACAATATGAACTTTAATATAACCTTAGGAACACACAAACTGATCCTGTAACCTCATCCAAATACAATAATGACAATCGAATGCAATGACCATCTTCACACAGAGATACCTCATTCAAGAAACAAGAATGGATTCCTATCCAAAAGAGTGGAAATTGATATTCATTGAATGGAAATAAGGCGAGTTTATTACCTCTTGTAGTGCAGCAAATCTGGGACAGACGAGAAGAGCACAACTCCCACCACGACTACAAGCTTAACTTCGCCGGAAACGAAACGAGAACAATACGAACAGTGATTTTTAGTTCCCAAAATGTCTGGGATTCGGATTGCTTTTAGTTTCTCTAGCAAAAAATTATTTTCTGATGAGCAGTTGTATATATATATTTTTTTTCTCCCCCCCAAACAGTGACTAAGAAGAGAATATATATAGGGGATTATTAGGGCATATTTTTTGGGGGAATCCGGATGAGAATCGGCTCCATTCGAAATTCAAATTTCAAAACCTTTCACCATTGAAGGGAGGCATGCTTTTTCTGAAATTTTTGCCCTATTCCGGAAGGGGAAAGGCCGAATCGACGCCTCAAATTGACTCTAATGTCCTTGAGATGCCACGTGGAGCGATCTCACGTTGGCAAGGACGAAAATGCGTGCTTGATGGCTGGAAACGGACTGCTGAAATCGCACAGTGGAGAGAGACGTTGAAGCTGAAGATGCTGTACAGGGGATATGTACTGTTTTGGTATTGTAATGTTGCTGTTGCGTCTGTTTTTTTTAGTATAGGATTGTTGGTCTTGTTAGAGGAATTGGGTTTGGGCTGGGAATGGGTTTCTTTTTAGCAGAAAATAATTGGGCTGGGAATTAAGATTGGGTCTGCTGGAAAAGTTAGAGAAAAGGCCCAAAATTGGTCCAAAAAGGTAAGTTAGATTGGAATCAGGAAATGGCTTTACGGATTGCGAATTTGGCCAAGCTAATTAAGGATTTAGCCAAAATCGGATGAATATTCATGAATTCGGCTAAATTCTAAATAGGATGAATTAATATTAATTAATCAACGAGCTTCTTAATCTTAACGAAATAAAATAATTAACTTAATTATAAACTAACTATTTCAAAATATAAAGTATTATATAACTAAACTAGTTAACCAAATATTTAAGTAAAACTAAATATTTTTGAGGCAATTTTCGAATGATCATAAAATATACTAATTATATACATAATTATGTAAAACAAATGTATTATCTAAAAATTATAAAAGTGACAAAACTAGTTAAAATAACTTGCAAACGATATATATATATATATATATATATATATATATATATATATAGTAAAACTAAATATTTTTGAGACGATTTTCGAATGATCATAAAATATACTAATTATATACATAATTATGTAAAACAAATGTATTATCTAAAAATTATAAAAGTGACAAAACTAGTTAAAATAACTTGCAAACGATATATATATATATATATATATATATAGTAAAACTAAATATTTTTGAGACGATTTTCGAATGATCATAAAATATACCAATTATATACATAATTATGTAACACAAATATATTATCTAAGAATTATAAAAGTGACAAAACTAGTTAAAATAACTTGCAAACAATATATATATATATATATATATATATATATATATATATATATATATATATAATTTTATGAAACTAATTGTTTTGAATCGTTCGAGGATTACGAAGCTCAAAAATTAATTATTATCGGGGAGAGTCAAAATTGGGTGTCAACAGTAATTTGTTGATACAGTAGTATAAAACCACGAGGACTGTGGTTAGATGGATGCATCCTTTACCAATGGTGTCGGGTTCGAGTGATAGAAACTGGTCAAATCTGAAACCGAATTAGTTGGTCAATGATTTCTGGAGGATGTATTTAAGGCAATTTTTTTAAAAAAAAATCCCCTCAAATGTGTGAACTTCACCAGCTATATGTTTCAAGTACATGACATTATGGTTGCTTCTTGGTAGAGTAAACCAATGTAAAGAACCAAACATCCATGGGGAAAAGATACAAATATTGTATGTCACATAGAAAATACATATGTGCTGCCCTCTATACCAAAAGAAATGGATTAGCCTACCAATACCGCGAACTATTTCATTTACAGCATCAATTCTCAAAGAGTAATAAATTGGAAGGAGTACTCAGTATATCCATGATTTACATTGTATCTACAATGGCTTTCTCTCGGCTACTCAAACTGTATATATCTTTCTCACCTTCTTTATAGGCCTGCGACAGATTGGGCAAGTACCAGCAACTTCTGCTATCCTGTAAATGTCAATTTCATGGTGTTAAACTATTATACATGGATTTTCCACCTGTATTTTCATTTCTTTCTTTACCAGTGTAGATACTACCAACGACTACGCTACTAAAAGGGTTGGAAATGCCTTTGCAAAAACAGTGAACTTAGATCACACAATAAAATCATTGAAATGTGATTCATTTCTTTAGTCTATAGTTCTTTAATTGAATTTGATTGATCATAGTTTTGCCCCTTTGCTTTTAAGGATTGTATGAAAGGCAGTTCAATAAATGATCTCAAAATTTGTTTGGTGCCTTGGTAACATAGAAAACCAAAGGAGGGGGATGGGTGCAACAGAATCACCATAAAAGAAAGTAAAGTTGGGGACATAGTAAACCTCCTACTATTAACTATAAGAGTGACTCCCTGTGACGGGAAGGGGAAAGATTGAATCTTGAAAGACCGAGCCCCTGGCTAAAGGGGAGGGAGCATAGTAGATAAAATAGAAGAAAAGGGAAAGGAGGAAGAACACCATAACAGGATCTCTTGGTTGTGGAGAAAGAGGCCGACAGGTGATAATTTACTTTGAGGGAAAAGTTGTGACTAGTCCTAAGTTGTGTCTCAGATTATGATCATACTGCCCCATCCATGTGGCTAGAATAGTCTCCCCAACCATATTTTCTTAATGAACAAGAATAACAACATCAACTCTCAATGATGTCCCTTTATTAACAAGGGAAGTCTAGCTGTCATGTCATGGCTTGCTGGTTTCTCTCATATGCATTTTTTATTTTTTTGATGACGAGGGAAACCCGCAGCCGCTACCCTTTGGGTGCGCACATGGTAAAACCCCCGCTCCTATGCAATAGCTCGCAAACCACATAGGAGAGGTAACCCACACTAGGCAAGCCCGGTGTGACGAGCTCGACCCAGAAGGCAAACCCCTTGCTTTCGCTGGCAAGGGGTTTCGAACTTGAGACCTCCAACATGGAAGTCCCAAGCCCAAACCACTGGTTTCTCTCATATGCATAAATAAATATAAGCATATTCTTTTGCAAGTACTTAGTCATTCCTCTGGAGTATAAACTCAAAAAGAAAACATTTTTAGTTTTTAGAGAGAGAAGTGACATACCTAGTTCCACATTCAAAACAGGATGCATGGTGTCCACATGGAAGAAAGAAGCAGTCCCTTGGCGCATCAAAACAAATTGCGCAGAGTCGGCGAATATTGCTGTTGTATTCACCATCTTTAACTAGTCTCCCTTGAGCTGCAGTGAGGTCCAGTACACCTTCATTATACTCATCATCTTGTGAAAGACCATCGTAAGAAGAACCCCAGCTTGCAATATCATCATCTTTGCGTGAAAGAAGAGGGGTCTGCTCAGATTCCATCGGCCCCACTGGGTCTCTAATACCTTCCAGATGAGTGGATTGCATATTATTCAAGTACCTGAATACCAACCAAATGAGAAAACTCATCCCACCTGCATTTAGAAAGAATGATGAAGATGAAAAACTACAGATTTTTCAATTGGAACATCAGGGGTTATGTAGAAAAGAGAAATATACCTACTCCAAGAAGATATGTGATCCACCGAGGTCCATAGGAAAGTTTGACGCTCCACATACCAGTAGCTATACCCTACAGGAATTGGAAAAAAGGCTAACTTCATTCACATGAAATCTACTCTATGAAACTTGAATGCTTTCCTCTCTACCTCGTGGTATAAGGTTTGGGAACACTTTACCCTCCGCAGACCCCACCTATGGGATTACAATTTACACCAGGTATGTTGTTGTTGTTGTTGTTGTTGAAATTTGAATGCTTGCCAAAGAATATTTACATAAGTCCTATTTAATTGGTGAGACAAAGGAGATATTCCATATTCTACAGTCTACTCCACTGTATAGGGTCCATTAAGATTAACAGTAGTCATGATGCCAAATGACTTGGAGAATGGACATATACAAAGAAGGATCTCTATTAACAAGCCAATCTCTAACCAAAACGTATAAGGATGGAGTTGTCATGACAAAATGCATGTAAAATCCTAGAACATAGTAGTGCAAATGACTGTACTAACTAGTTTAGTGCATCTCAAAAATCTAGTCCCAGCCTTCAAATGACTGTTCATTTGTGATGACAGAAGCTGAAATGCTACTGCTTGGTGTTAATACACTCAAGTTGTCTCCACTCGACAAGTTATATAATCGGCAAACAGAATATACTATTCCAACAGAGATATTTAGAAGTAAGCTTATCAAGATATTGTGTCCATGTGTGGTCAAAGATTCACCGCTTAAAGAAACATCTGTTAATAGAAATGATAAAAAGACTGCAAAAAACTGCAAACGCATTGAGCAAAATTAAAGCATTTGTATTGGGCATATTCTCTGTTGAGAGAATTAAACAAGGAGATCTAGAAAAATCTGGAGACTTACTGGCCTTTGAGGAGGAGAAGTCAAAAGAGCAACATTTCCTCCGGCCAGAAAGAAGCTCATTCCACATGGTTTTTGTCTGAGGTTGCACTCATAATAAGCACCAGTTGTATTATAGAGCAATACCTTACTTCTAATATTCAACCGAACCTGTTTTTCACAGAACTAAACATGATAAATAATAAAAAGAAGATAAATGCAGTTCTAGTGAAAAGCAGAAAAATATCCCCCCCACCCCAAAAAATTGAAAAATAAGGGAAATTACGATTTCTTTCTACCAATGTGATTAGATAATTGTTCACCTGGCGGAAGAAAGGTTATACCCATACTGTCTCTTAAGAGTACTATCTTAAGTGAAAATTTGACATGGTAATACTTATTTGACCTGTACAACTCCAGAGTTCAAGTTGCCCACTGCCACGTAATAACTAGAGGACTTCCCTATGTCTTGGCTGATTGTGCCATTCCCTGCAGAAAGGCAGCTGGTGTGATAAGGTAACTTCTATCTATTGTGAGCTATAGTTTGTGCAAGACCTTTATGCAGGGATCATAAATAATTAGCTAGTCTTCTTTCTTACCATAAATGACATTCCATGATAGTGTTGTATTTGGATAAGATGGGTCTTCAAGCCACTGAGCTAGACCTTCGCTTCCTGCAGTTCATTGACTTTTAGAGAAAAATATCTCAGTGCTAGAAAATTGAAATGGAGCTAGCATGTCAGAACTTGGCTGGCTATAATATTAAAGAAGACCTGATCAACAAGACAGGTAACCACTTTCCAAGGGAGTGAGCCACAAAGACAATTCCCCACTGAAGGGTTGAGCCCAGAATACACCGCTCTGATGGACCACTTAAAGAGGAAAATGAGGAGAGAGACAGTTCCAGGGAACACTTCTTTTTTACCGCTGGCCTGAAAGGCGGGTACTGGGACTCAGAAGAGACTAGCTTAGACAAAAATAATATGTCAACTGTAAGCTAAATGATAGTACAGAAATATTATTTGTTTCTCTGGATGGGCATATAAGAACCAAAGAAAACAATGAACCCAAAAACCATAGAAGCTATACTGCAATAGTGAGGTGGACCAGACTTCTACCAAGTTGAGTACTCTAACAGTCCTCTACATGGGCTATCCTATAATACATACTGTTAACATGAGGTTGAAAAGCCCATTAATTTGGATTGATTTGCAAAGTTTTGATGCTACCTTACAAAGTAATCAACCTAGTATAGATTTAAATTGACCCCTAAACAAGAAATGCAACACTGGGAAACAAAAATTGGAATAGACTTGACGAAAATGAACTTACCTTGAGCAATAATAAGGACTAAACCAAACGAACTTGAGGACTTGACACTATATGATATGTTTATTTGAGACCCTTGATTCAAGTAATATATCCATTGCTGTAAAATCAAACACAAGATAATTCATTAAACAAGCCTCAGATAGGCATTAGAGACTTAAAAGAAAATTTAAAGTCACACCGTGCCTTGTTAGTGTTTGCAGGAAGAGAGGTTCTGTAAGCTTCAGTAGAAGTTGCAAGAACATCAAGAGACGGATTTTCATAGAACCCATACACCGTTGGTCTATTGTTTGCACCATCCATCTCTTCCACCTTGTAGGAAGGACACAAGTTTTGTCAAACTACGAGCTTAGAGAATATGTAAAAAAACAGGCTAAGAAATTACACAATTTACCTTTATATTTTTTACAAATAAGGGATTAGGTTTTATCAGGATTGAGGAATTTGGTCCAAGCTGCAAATTACCTGGCCCATAAACTCCCAGTATCAAAGTCATAGAGACTGAAGAAAAGAGAAAACATTCATCAAGGCAAGCTCTGAAGTATCAAACGTCTTTAGTGAAAGAAAATAAGCAAGAAAACAGAAATGCACAAGCATATTAACGTGAATATTTCCTATAAAAGTCATAGATACTGGAGTAAAGAGAAATTATTTCCACAAAGGAAGCTCTGAAGTGTCAAATGCTGTGTTTACCAGGAGAAATGTAAGAGAGAAAAAGCTTTTAAATACGAATGCTTCTTACGATCTCTCACCTATTTGCGTAGGAATTAAAATTTTTAAGTAAATACTAATAATATGAGCATGCTAGTGATCAATTATGGTAGTTGAGTGATTCACAAAATTTTAGGATTGCACAATGTAAACCCAATCAGTGAAGCCATCAAAAGCTACGAGATTTGTCCTCATTTGGAGCAACACACTACCATGAACAGCCAGCCATTCTTCCCCCAAACTCCACATCAACCTACACACTGACCTAATCCCAGTCAACTTCACATGTGCATAAAATTTACACTCTCCAGCCAATTAGTAAGGCAATTGTAGTTGTTATCTTGATTCCCCCTTTCTTTCAAAAAGCATTCATAAATTTGTTACATATAAGCCTCAACACTTGCACAAGATGAGCGTCACATAAATGCAAATAGCAAGATGGATGTGTAGTCATACGAGAATAAACAAAACGAAAAATGATCTCATCACATCCATTTGGAAGTGCAAGTTGAGTATACATGATGAGAAAGATCATTTGAGATGGTTTTGTAGTGCCCTACTTAGATCTCTAAAGGTGCAAGTGTATAGGTGTGAAACCATGATAATTGAAGGTTCTAATAGGAATGAGATAGACCTAAAATCAAATGAAAGATTCTCGGATCCATGAGACTTAACAAAAAAACAGAATGTAATAACAGAACACTCATATGAGTGATACCGACTGGTAGGTATTAAAAGCTTAGTCATATAGCTACACCTATAATAGAAGCTGTTTTTGCAAGAAGTTCTTTTAGACTGTATACAGATTTATATATCAGTAGAAAATTTATGTAAATTAGTCTTAGAGAACCCCAAATTATCAAATATCGGAATGAAACAGGTCAGACTTCACAGGAATAAAAGAATGGAGCGAAACGGATAGTACAAACTTCATATAGCTGCCCCGCTTCGGTTGAGATTGAGCCATAATAGTTGTTGTTAAATACACTTATACTATCACTTTCTTCGCGAGTTTCATACCTCAACTATCCATTGTTTCATTTAACTACCTAACCATCATTCCATTTGTATTAAAACACACTTCGATGCTGAGTTGGCCTTCCTACGCCTATTGTCAATTAGGGAATAAGAGTTTCATACCTCAACTATACATTGTTCATTTAACTACCTAAACCATCACTCCATTTGTATTAAAACAAACTTCGATGCTAAGTTAGCCTCCACACTGCTATTGTCCATTGGAAATAAACATTTGGCCAACTCAACATTGAGATATGTTTTAATACAAAGGTAGTCCTAACTTAAGGTAGCTAAAGGGTAACAATGAATAGTTGAGACACAACTATATGATGGGAAAAAAAGGGCACAAGTGAACATGTCCAAATATCATCAGATTGTCTTATTTTCGGTTTTCAGAGCTGCAACGATAGTAGAAATAAAAATGAAAAAGAAACGCAAACACACATATGCAGATTTTGGGGAGAAAGAAAAAATTACCGAAGAACCAGAAAGTGATAATAACAACAATGTAAGAACAGGTATCATCTCTGGCTAACCGCACAGCTTCCTCATTGTCAGTCGCCGGAAAATAAGGTGCATTGTGAAAAACATTATTCCTCTCCGGAAACGGCAACGGAGGCCGCCTATCATCGTCGTCAATCACCGGTACCTCCTCCTCGTGTCGCGACATCGATGCATCGCCGGAAAATTGCTCATCCCTAACCTCCGACGAAAATGACCGATTCCGATCTGATTCCTCCATTCTGAAGAATAAGAAGTAAAAATCGTGATTTGAGAGAAAATTGTAGAAAGAAATAAATTGAAAATTTTACTGTAATGAGAAGAGTACATGATTGAGTTGAACGTGGCTTCACCAATCAGTCATCATTTTTATTTTTATTTTTGTTGTTTTTTGGGATATACGTATTTCAGATTCCGATTAGTAGTTGACAACTGAAAGTTTTAAGAATAATAAAGTGTGACAGTTAGGTGATTACATTTACAATCATATGAATTGTGAATTTATATATTTTTTTTTTATTTGACATTTTGGCCTCTGTTCTAATAGTATAATAAAAAAATAGCAGAGTTGTTAATTCAAGTCAATTAGTAGTAAGTCCAACTTAATAATGGAAAAATTACCTCACATGATAAATTAAGACGCATTATGGTTTTACCGTGATTTTCTTATTAAATTTGAATTTTTACTCTTCTCTGAAAGAAAGTTAAAGCATTACCATAACCGACTTTACTTTTCCTGAAAGAAGAATATAATTCTCTACCATATTTGGTTTTTCTTTCCTTAGGGAAACATTTTAAACTTTGTAAATTGAATACCCTTTTTTCATACCAAGAACACAATAGCATCCACAATATAGTCTTTTAGAGAGTTTTGTTTATGAAGAGATTTTCTCTCTACAGTTTTTATGTTTTTAATTAGTTTTTTTTTTATAAAAAAATGTAGGTTAATTGGCCATATCATGCAATATATGTTTCTTTTAGTATAATTTTATGTGTTGTCTAATTTGTCGTCATATGTTTTGCAATTGTAAGCTTTCACATGTCGCCCTAATTATTTCGAATCCAACAAGACACAATATTTATTTGAAATGACAGTAATTTAAAAAGATTATCTAATAGAGATAAGACACAAGTAGCATCTTAAATTATACCAGAGCTAAAGACCTTGTTGACTTCGGCTCTTGTTTTAACCTTACCCGAGAAGGGTGTGGATTTAACCATTTATTGTGATGCTTAAGGAGTCGGGTTAGGCGGTGTTCTGATGCAGAAAGGTAAGGTGATCGGTGATCGCCTATGCTTCTAGACAATTGAAGACCTATGAGAAGAACTAACCATGATTTAGAGTTGGCAGCTGTAGTGTTTGTGCTTAAGCTATGGCGACATTATCTGTATGGGGTGCATTGTGAGGTCTTCACTGATCGTAGTATTCAGTACATCTTCATTCAGGGGGATCTGAACTTGAAGCAGCGCAGATGAATTCAACTATTGAAGGACTATGATATCACCATCTTGTACCATTCAGGGAAGGCCAATGTGGTGACCGACGCTTTGAGTAGGAAGACTTCTAGCATGGGAGTCTTGCCGCTTGGATAGAGATGTTCAGAGGTTAGCCAATAGTCTTGTCCGATTGCAGATTATTGAGGAGACCGGTGGCTTGATTACTTTCATAGAGGCTCATTCTTTCTTAGTTGAGAAGATTAATGATCGTCAGTTTGATGATGAGAAATTGTGTCTCATTCGAGACAACGTGGTGAGAGGGGAAAACAATGAGGTTTTCCTTGATTCTGAGGGTGTCTGGAGGATTAGGGGCAGGATCTGTGTGTCCAATGTGGGTGAGTTGATTAGATTGATTCTTAAGGAGGCCTCTTTGTTCTTGATATTTCAACCATTCGGGAGCGGCGAAGATGTATCGTGATGAGAGTTAGCAATACTGGTGGTGTGGCATGAAGAGAGATATTGCCGATTTTGTTTCCACGTGCTTGACTTGAGTAAGGTCAAATGTGAGCACCAACGGTCCGGAGGTATATCTCAGGGGATGTATATTCCTACTTGGAAGTGGAAGCGAATCACTGTGGACTTTGATATAGGTTTACCTGCCATCGTGGGTGATTATGATTCTATTTGTATTGTTGTGGATAGGTTGACCAAGTCCGCTTATTTCATCCAAGTTCGGGTGAAGTATACGATAGATAAGTTGGCTCAGCTTTATATCAGTCAGATTGTGCGACTACATGGAGTCTCTGTTTCTATTGTCTCTCATTGAGGTTCTTTGTTCACTTCCCATTTCTGGAAGGCTTTATATCATGGTTTGGGTACTTGGTTAGATATGAGTACAACTTTCTATCCTCAGATAGATGGTCAGTCCGAGAGGATGATTCTGGTGTTGAAGGACATGATTTGAGCTTCTGTGATCGATTTCGGTGCTAGATGGGAACAACATTTACCTTTAGTCAAGTTCGTCTACAAAATTTGTTACCATTCTAGTATTCAGATGGTCCCAATTGAGGCGTTGCATGTCAAACAGTGTAGATCTATAATTTGGTGGTTTGATCAACTGAGACGGACTCTTTAGATACAAACTTACTTAGAAATGCTATGGAGCATGTCCGTATAATTCAGGGTATATTGTTGAAAGCCTTGAGTCGACAAAATAGTTATGCAGATCGGAGAGCCCAAGCCTTAAAATTTATGGAGGGCGATCATGTTTGACTTTGAGTGTCACCCATGAAGGATGTAATGAGGTTTAGAAAGAAGGACAAACTTAACCCTAAATTCACTTGACCTTTCAATATTTTGAGCTGAGTGAGAGAGATGGCCTATAACTTGGCCTTGCAACCTAGCTTGTCACTTGTGCATCCTATGTTTCATGTCTCCATACTTCAAAAGTATGTGTCGAATGAGTCTCAGGTGCTTTCACTTGATTCAGTTGTGTTTGGTCCAGACATGTCTTTTGAGAAGGAGCCTATAACCATTTTGGATAGGCAAGTCTGAAAGCTTAGGACCAATGAGATTATTTTAGTGAAGATGCGGTGGAAGTACCGTTCAGTTGATGAGGCGACTTGGGAGATAGAGTCGGATATGCGTGTCTGATATCCTCATATTTTTTAGGGTTTAGGTACTTTTGTTTGCTTTATGTTCGAAGACGACATGGTTTTTAGTGGTGGATAATGTAATGATCCAGTTGGTCATTTTTAATTATTTTTATAAAATTGTCGTTTTGACCCTTCTGATATTGACCCCGAGTTATTTTTGATTGAGTTTTGAATGTTGATTGCGAAATTTGAGTAGGAAGTTGAGAATTTATAAGTTTCGTGTTTTGAAAGGCTAAAGTTGCTTAAAAGTGATTTTCGGTGTCTTTTGAAGTTTCGAGTATTAGAATGGAATTCCGTCGATTCCATCAATCTCGAGATGTGAAAATTAATCTTTCAGAGTTTTCGTTTTAGATTCAAAGTCTTCTGAGGATTTGAGGTCCTAAGTTGGAAATTTATGAAAATTTAGCTTTTGGCTTGACTTTGGTCAACATTCGGGGTTCAGATGCACGGATCAGAATTTCGAGAGTTCCTTTAAATTTGGGAATGATTCTAGACCTAAGTGAGGTCTTGGTTGAATTTTCAGAGGTCCCGAGCTCATTTTGGCATTTTAGGTGTTATGTTAGTTTCTGTAACTTTTACGTATGTAGGGTCAAGGAGAACTTAGATTCGCATTTCGATGATTCCATTGCGTTGAGAACATCAAATTTAGTCAATTTGCGTATATGATTTGTGTGTACGGGGTTCTCAACAAATCTTGAAGGTACATTTTGATTTATGTTTGGCTGTGTTTTGCCTGTGTTTGGAGGCTTCGTTTTTGCAAGGACTTGTTCGCTTCAGCGAACTTCACAAAAGCGAAAGAGCCTACGCTTTTGTGAGAGGCGCCACTTTTACGAGGTTTACAAAAGCAAACATGTGGTTCGCTGCATATATGTCCGCTTAAGCGAACCTGAATCCGCTTTTCCGACATCTAAAAGGAGTTTTGAGCATAAATTTTGGGGTTTAAGCCCCATTTTTCATCTTTGAGAATTGTAAAACTCTTGGAGGTGATTTTGAAGACATCTCGTGTGCTAAATCATTTGGGTAAGCTATTGTGACCCTAAAACTTTATTTTCGATTACTCATTTATGAATTTTAACATTGAAACTTGAGATTTTGATTGGCAAATGACAAGGTTTTTCAAGAACTTGAGTTCTACGCTAAAATGGAAATTGTGAACTGATTTAACTCCTTTTTCGAAAATGGTTTTTATCAATGAGTTTTAAATGCCTTGGGTAACATTTTCAAGTAAAGATTTTATGGATACATATCTCATTTATAGAATTGGATTTTGAGTTGATTGACCATTTTTCAAAGAGTATGAATTGAGTATTGTTATTTCCAAAATCTTATTGTGATTACTTGATTGAAATAAATTGTGTGCCTTTGGACATTGTTCAGAAAGGGAAGACTCAAGTCTTGGATTTACCATTTGATTGAATTAAGGCAAGTGATCTCCTAAACCTTGTAAATCTATTTGAATAGTGTATTTCCCTTCATTGTGTGTGTTGAGGTGTAATGGGAATGTGGTGATGGGATCATTGTTCCACTTGTTTAACCTTAATGAACACAAAGGGGATTAATGAAAAGGTAATGTGTTGATCATAATGCTTTGTGAATTGTCTTGTTATGAACCTTATGTTGGTTGATTGATGAAATCTTTTGAGGGCATTAATATGGACTTGAATTGCTTGAATTGTTTTTTCTTTCTTATGGTGTAAAATTACTTATTTGCATTTATTGTGTACACCATGATGAGACATGTGATGTTATGCCAAAGGGAAATGGTTTCGGCAAGTGATGTGATATAAAGCCGAAGGAAAATATTTATAGCTAGTGATATGATATAAAGCCAAAGAGAAATGATTCAGGCTAGTGATAATGTGCCGAAGGGAAATGGTTCCGACAAGTAATGTGATATTATGCCGAAGTGAAATGATTCTGGCAAGTGATTTGTGATGAGTAGTAGATTTACATTCATTGAGGCCTTTTTTAGTTCAATAATTAGTGTCCTCAATGCCTAGTTATGTCTTATTCTAATGATATTTTGATGATTTACAACTATGAAGGCTAAAGGACAAGGCGATGTGGATACTTGAAAGAAAGGCCATAAACACTGAAAGAAGTGTAAACTCTACACTGGGAGTCATCTAACCAAAATGACAAATAGCCC